ACGTTAGGCATGTAACGTTTCAAATTATTGTTCCTACTTTCAACCGTGCATTTTAGTAAAGTGGTAATCAGTTTTTTTGTGATAATTGATATAAGGTATGTCTGCTCATTGGTAAGTTATGTTGTATGATGTAATGTTAAATCTTCAGCAATACTCTAATTGTTTTGTTATAGATTTTAAAGGAACTTCAAATTAATTTTATGGAAAGCTTTTGAGAAGAATGTTAATGAAAGCGAAATTAGTGGAAAATCCTGCATTAATACATGCAAAGACCAACAATTTTTTTAAACTCTATCAATTTGTTAAACACTTTTCCTATGATTAGTTTACTAACGCTAAATTAGTAACGGAGATAATGTAATAATTAATGAGGTAAATAAAAACCGATGTCCACGGTTTCCTATAAAAAGAGTATTGCGGAAAATTCCTCAATGATTAACATTACAAGCAAACTATGGAATTATACTTGTTTCGTTACCATGTTAAATTACCCCAAGGCAAAGATAGCCCATATTTTATAAGAAAATACTTAAGCAAATAATCTATTGGCTTCTTGACATTTCACCTTTTGGGACAATGTTAGGTATCTCAACGCGATTATTTTATACTAAATTAATAAATAATTAAGAAACATGTTTTTTCGCATGCCAACAAATGGTTCTAATTAAAACAATTGATAAGGGTGGGATGCAGAGTAACTCATCACTGTTTCTGATAATATTTGTATATAAATACGAACCCAAAAGTCTCGAATAGGCATCAGTCGCATTCGGCTAAGTATCCTAGTTCTTGACTAAACGAAGAGCTATGAAGTCGATTTTCCTGCTCGCCCTTGTGGGCTTTGTAGCTTCCATTCCATTGGAAACAAGCCCTATTCTCTACAACTCGAAATTGCGCAGCTATGGATATCAAGGTAACAGTTTTGTTGTTCCGGAATACATAGCTTATCAATTCAGCCAGGCCCAAAAAGCTGGCTACACTCCTGCTCAGGTGGTCGCTTATCTGTTGGAACGGGGCTATCCCGAGTATGTTGCTCACTATCTTGCAGAGCAGTATGAAGCTGGTTTATCCAAGCCTTACTTCCAATCGCCCTATGAGATTTTCCGTTACTTCTACAAGCAAGGAATCAATGATAATGTTCGGGAATACATCAATCAACAAATCTCGCAAGTTTATCAACAATCTCAAATTGGTATCAATGGACAACAGATTTATGGCCAGAAATTCCTGAATGTGCCAGTACCGTTCTCCCAGTACGTTGTGCAGCAACGCAACTACTTCAACCAATACGAAAAGATTTTCTCTGGTGCGAAGTCCGCCTATCAACTTTTGCAACTAGTTGAACAACATGTCCAAAACGCCATACAGATATTGTCGAACGGCTATTACCAGCAAAGCGAACACCAGTATATTTACCAGAAATTGGTTCATGGACTTGGTTTCCTCAAAAACGGCAAAGAAGTATACCAAACTTACCAAAACTACCAGGAAAAGTACATTCCTTACTATGTCGCCCAATACTACGCCCAACAAGCCGCCTTGGTATACAAGTATTTGCAAGAAACTTACCAGTACATTGAAGGAAAAGAAATTTATTTGCCTCAACAATTTGTCCAAGAACTGCTAGTTGCCTACGAAGCTGCTCAAAAAGCCTACCAAGCATACCAACCAAGCTTTTTCAGCAAAGTTTACCAAATCGTCGTTGATGAACCATCAAATCTAAATCACGGTCAGACACCTTACAGCTCTTCCTATTCTAACTATGGACCATACAGTTCTTCCTACCTGTACAGTTCTTATGGGCCATACAAGCAATTTTACGGATACTCGGGACTTTCCAGTTACCCACAATACAGCCCTTCATACCAATATGGGCCATCTAGTTCAAATTTCTATAATTTTGGCAAATCTGGACCGTACACTGGAAGTTATGGATACCAATTTGGTCCCTACCAGCAAAGTCAATATGGGCAACACAACCAAGGCTATACTTGGCCTTATTACGCTTCTAGCTATTCATACAAGCCCTATGATGAGAAATACGGATCTTCCAGCAATTATGCGCAAATCAGCAGTTATACCCCTTACGAATATGGATCTTATGTCCCATCTATTTACAAGGTTTGGGATGGAGTTCAATCTTATGGGTATCAGTACCCTCTTAAGAATGGATTTTCCAATACTTACCCCCAGGTTGCCGCCATTGGTAAGAGCAATAATTTACTAGTGCTGAATAATAAAAAAATATATATTTAATTTATATGGAATTGATAGAATATGTTGGTAAATACGCATTGTTTTTTCTTTTAGCTGCCTAAGTGAAAAAGGACTCCGACCATGCTCAAGAACTGTTATTTAAATGTATTAATGTTAACGTTGCCTCAATAAATGGTTATAATATTGAATTTATTATGTGTTTTAATATATTAGTGTAAGCTGAAAGATATTTGCCATTCTTTTAATTTAAATATGCGAACTCGGAACTACAATGTTTTTAGCAGAGTTTGAATTTAACAAAGTGTTGATTTAAGTAATGAATAACCATCATTAACATTACTAAAATACCTAATATTCGGTATTCCAAAGGTTTGTAAACTAGACTTGTAATTTTGATGAAATGTCTTGGTCCATTTCACTATGAAATTTGCAATTTCGATGAGTGATCATCTCTGCTAATTTATTGAATATTGGTTTTACAAAAATAAGGTGCATATTACATATTATTATTAATCACGCAATATTTTTCTCACACAAAATACTGTCCAAAGTCGCATTAGGAAAACAATTGAACAATATGAGGAAGTCGAAGAGTCTTGCGATTTTATCTCAGCATTGCTATTTGCTAGAATATTAATAATACGAAATACGAATAATTAATACGAAAACGACAAAACGTTTTTTTGTAGCCTAAGTGGAGAAATAAAAAAAGTGAGAAAATACCTTGATGAGCTTTTCACATTTGGTATAAACAAAGATTACGTATGTGTGGGTTAAAGTTAAAAAAAAAACATTTTTGGAACACCGATATATTCAATGTCAATTAGAAACGCTTTTAGTGCTAAAAGATACATTTCTTTTGATACTTTCCATAACTAATTAGAATAAAATACATCTCTGGTTATATTTCAATTTAATGCAAACGAGTAAAAAATAATTATTTTGATTTATTATTTTCTTATCATTTTCCACATGATATTTTAGAACACACTATGTCGTTCTGTAAAACCATTTTTTCTAGGATTAATTTTAATTACAAATCATTTATAATGTAACTGAGATAATTTTTCATTTACAGTCGAAACCCGGTGAAGTTGTACAAGCAGTTAAGGATGCTATTGATGTCGGGTATCGTCATATTGATGGTGCATTTGTATACGGTAATGAAAAAGAAGTCGGAGCTGGAATAGCAGCAAAAATCGCTGATGGAACAGTTAAAAGGGAAGACCTCTGGGTCACAAGGTAAGTCTTTCAAGAAAGAGTAATTAATGAAATTTGTGAAAGTTATTTTACAATTAATTTAAAAGAAAATTGTATTTTTCCATAAAATTTGCAATGCATAAGCGATTAAAAGTAAAGTAGTTTACAGTACATGCCCAACCTTCATATGAACCCAACGCCAATCAATAAAATAAACTTATAAAGATAAAATAAATATCTAATTGGATACTTAATTTACAAGCATTAATAAAAGTTTTAATGTCATATTTATCAAAAATATAAAAAAAGTAGTTTCAAGGCACTGAACCGTCTAAGAGAATTCACATCGATTTCTGTTTAAAACTAGTGCTACTTTAACTAATCCTAGGCTAAAATAAACTTTAATACTTTTAATTTATTTCCCTGGTATTTATTGCACTTCTTTTAGCTTTTTTTGAAAAAAAGGTGGTTTAAAAGCAAATTATTTCTAGTTTTTAATGTTCTAATTAATTTAAGATCGGCTAAGATACTTTAATTCATATTTAATTTCCAAATTTTAATATTTTTTATTAAAAAAAATTCACGGCCGTAGGGAATCAAATCAAATAAAGTTAAAATATGTTTTACTTCCATAGAAAAATTTAAATAATTACTAAGTTATACAATAACAATAACATTTTGAAAATGGCTTTTTTTTTTAATTAAGTGCTAAGTTTGCATGCAAAAATCATTTTTATTTTTCAAGTAACAGGTCTTTAAACTAGGAAATCACTCAAACACGCCATATTTTCAGTTATACAAAGTAGCAAAAGTGCAAAAAGTTTTCAGCTAAACTAAAAAAAACTTGTGTTTTTGGACGTTTTTTTTTAAATTTAATTCTATATCGACACTAATATATCTTGATCTTTCAACATTTAACTTTTTATCTTCATGAAATTTTCACTTTTTTTCCTTCTTTCCAAATTTTTTTCAGTTTTGAGATTTCAAAATAGAACTATGAGTTATTAATTTAGCCCTAATTTTATTTTCATATCAAATTTTGATATTCAAACTCGGACCAACTGCCTTAACTCAACATTGATACCCAAAACTCGAAAATGTTGTCTTTTTAAGAAATCCGCATTTATTCATTGCGCATTAACATAAGTTCAAGTTCTTGAATTTTCCTAAATCTCATTCTTTTCATCTCTTTCAAAATATTAGAAGATCTAACAAATAAACTAGTTTCAAGATTTTAGTACTAACTCGAAAAATTTACTTTAATTTTGACTGTCGAAATCAGAGATTATACTTAAGAAAAGTAACAAATTTAAGTTCTATACGATAATGTATACTTGCCATTTGAGAAAATAAAATGAATACGTTCTATTAAATAATAGTGATTAGTATATTAGTGATTAGTATATTTGAATTGATTAAACTTATTACATTTAAAATAATAAATAGGAAAATAATAGTTAATTATTTCATCAATATTTCAGTAAGTTATGGAACTCCTACCACCGACCAGACTTGGTTGAAAAAAACATCAGGGCCTCTTTGAGCTATCTCGGATTGAAATATGTGGACCTTTACTTAATTCATTGGCCAGTTGGATACAAGGTTTGTATTTTGCATTCATCTTCTGCACAGTTTTATTTCCGGTAATCGAGATGTTTTAATTTGACATTTCTCAAAAAGTTCAATATTATTAGACATTATTAACGTATTCAAATGTTTTTCCTTAATCAAAAACAACGAAAAACTTTGTTGTTTTCAAATGCGGCCGCTGTCTCTGAATTTAATATCTCGGTTTCTGCTCTGGTTGGAATTCCGACATTTTTTCAGATTAGTCTTTTTTCCTGAACAAAATAGTGATTTTTTTCGTTCCACATACTGATGATACTCACTAAGAAACTTTCAGACACGTCGCATATCTAACATCAGTTAGTTGCGTTTCTCAGTCAGTTATCATTCTACAATGATTCTAATCCTCTTGCATCTGGTCAAAAAGTTTTTGAAAAAAAAGGAATGATTCTAGAAAAATGTAATAATAACTCTAATTAATGTTTTATATTTAACTCTTATATAATTTCAGGAAGACTTGGAGAATTTCCCTAAAGATGCCGAGGGCAACATTTTGTTCAGCGATGTTGATTACCTTGACACCTGGAAAGCCATGGAAGAGGTCCAAAAAAAAGGCCTAGCTAAAACTATCGGACTTTCCAACTTCAACAAGGCGCAAATTTCGAGAATTCTGGAAAATTGCACCATCAAGCCAGCTGTACTACAAGTGAGATTTTTGCCTGGTAGACCAATGGAGAAAATCTATGCTGTTTTGCTTTCAGATTGAGTGCCACCCTTACTTGAATCAGAAGAAATTGATCGATTTCGCACACTCCAAAGGAATCGCTGTGACTGCTTATAGTCCTTTGGGCTCACCAGACAGGCCATGGGCTCAACCAGGTAACAACGTCTCTGCAAATCATTTTTCACATTGCATTTTTAACAATATTAATTAATATTTTGAAGTTCTGTAAATGTTTTTAAAATTTTTAATTCAAAAAAGTTAGAATTACTAATTTTGAAACCCTTTGCTTAAATATTCGCACTGTTGCTTCCGATTTTTCAAACCTTCAATTTCTGAGAAATGCTAATCAATGGAATGGAAGTATGTATTTAGAACATATAATTTTAAACTTTCGCTTGTAAACTTTGCAAGGCCTAAATTTTTTGATGATACTTAATTGGGAAAATGCTGTCTGGTTATGTGTGAAAAGGAGATTGAAAAACTCAATAAATTTCAACTGATTCTTAGGTTTTAAGATTTGAAAGATGTAAACAGCACTTTAACAACTTTTGGCAGGTTTCTTTAAATATTTTTAATTTACTGGGAGCAAGTTGCTACACGACTAATTTGCATATTAGAAAATACACTAATAATATTTGGATGTAAAATGTTAATAATTGACATTTCGGGTGAAACGCTGCACGTTTGTTATAACAAAATATAATTGTTGATTCTATAAAAATGATCATTACGACTACACAGCGATTTGCAACCAATTTCAAATTTTTTAGAAGAGAAAGTTTTATTCGAACTTTTTATTTTGATTTATTTGGTGGTTAAATCATTCGCCTTTTCTTAATTGCTTGTCCGCATATTCGCCACTGTCGAAAGAGCAGCGCTTCTCCTACTTACTATATTTTGCAAACTGTAAATTAACAAATTCTAATTCGTGTCATCGCGAGCTTATCATCAACATTTCTGGAACCCCTAACAGAGCAAAAGCTTGTGGTTTGTCGACGTCCACGTAGACTTCCATGCAAATTTAAACCTGATCTTTAATTTTTAATTATTCTTCTGGATCTATTCTAAACACTATGACTATAATATGGATGTAATCAATGTATTTATTTTAAGGCGATCCGCAATTGTTGGATGACTCAAAGCTACTTGCACTTTCCAAGAAGTATCAGAAAACTCCTGCCCAAATTCTTTTGAGATATCAAGTTGATAGAGGCGTAATTGTTATTCCTAAATCAGTAACGAAAGCAAGAATTCAACAGAATATTGATATTTTTGACTTCAAACTGAGTCCTGAGGACATTGCTTACATCGACACTTTTGATGTTAATGGTAGATTGTGCCCATTAGCTACGTAAGTATAAATGTATTATTTACATTTTTATATGCTAGAAAATTGTGCATGTTCTGTATGTCGATTAGTAAATTATATTTTCAGTCAATTTTAGGAATAATAAAAAATAATTCCGTAAAACTTTGAAGCATAACTAGACATATCTCAAATATTAATACGAGAATTTTCTAATATTCTAGTTGGAAGTAAAACAAATTCCAACAAATATAACCAAACTATGAATTAAAACTTTTGTATAAGCAGCAATTCATAGATCTAAATTTAACATTTTTGTTTTAGTGCTGTGGATCACAAATACCATCCATTCACAAACGACGAATATTAAGAAAAAGTTACAAAATTAAGACACTTTGTAATTCGTTGACTTCATTAAACTGTTGCATTGTTACATTTGGTTTTGATTTTCCTTTATCACATTATTACATAATTAGCTGGAGATGAAGTCCAAGCCCCCGTAAACCAAAAACGTAGTATAAAGGTTTAGATTGAGATTCGTTCCTAACTTGCTTACAAAGTTTGTATAGATGCTAGACAGGGAAAAAAGACGTTAGAGCAGTAGTGAATCTTGATAAAACTCTATAATTTGAAACCTTCTTTCATATAATAAATGATGCAAAACTAAATTGCTTTGACTTTTTAAAATAAAGTACATATGGTGTTGCCAATAAAATTTCAACATGTGCAACTTTTCGTATGTTCATAATTTAATAGTTGACGGAATTAATTAAAAAGAGTGCTTTATTTAGTTGCATTTAATCTTGTTGTTATGGCGTAAAAACTTGCCTATTATGTAATTCTGTAAAAATTGTTGTAATTTCTAATTCGTCTCATATAATTCAACTATTCAATTTATTTCGGTTTCTAAATCAAAAGCTATTATTTTTTTAAATATTTTTCGATATATTTATTAGTAAGATAGACATTATCTTACATAAAAGTAATAATTATTTTGTGGACTTAAAGCAAATATTTCAATCCTCCATTCTGCATTTTATAAATTTTAAAATATTATAGACAGTGCTTTTTTCGCAATTTTATGCAAACGGAACGATAGAAATTGTCAATAATTGAATTTAGATCCTGAACTCAATAAGTAAAAATTATTTCATAACAGATAGATTGAAACATGTGTGAAAGCATATATTCTGACTAATTTAATTGTTTTTAATTTATTTATTTTGAAGATGCTTAACAAGTTAGTTAAAAAAACAGCTTTAAGAACATTAATTAGAAACGTATTTGGCGTTATAAAAACATTTTCTTTGTGCATTTAATGCATATGTGACTTATTTACAATTTGTTTAATGAGTATGTTTAACATTGTTAAAACTTTTATAACATAATAAAGATAAAAGAGACTAACATTAGAATATGGTGTATTATATGTGCTGCTGTTGATATTTATGTTGCAACTTGATTTGAAATCGTTTTTATAGGGAAAAATCATTTACTATAACTACCAATTATTAAATAATAGTTTATTATCAGTTAGTTGCATGCAAGTAGAAGTAGTAGTATTGTGGGGGGACCCGATGGGGCCGGTGAGTCGGTCTTAAAGGCTGTTTTCGCCATTCCCCCTCCATCCATCCCCACTGTACCTCTCTTTCCTTGACAAAGGCAAGGATCCGTCTCCACTCCAAGAAAGACCTTGTCTTCCTCTGTGAGGAAGACAATTCGATGCGGGAGAGTGGGGAGGTCCCAAGGAGGCGCACGCCTCCTAGTAGGCGACCAGTGATGGCAGACTCCTAATAGGTGGTATGATGTTTCCTCCGCTGCTTCACATTGTGGACACACGGGGCTATCACCAATTCCTAGTATCACACTTTAACCATTGAGCCAAGCCTTGCTTTGAATCAGTGGCGACAAAAAAATAAAAAGCTTCCAGCAAATATAACTTAATTATAGTCTATTCTCTAATACTAAATACGTGACATTCGCTATATATTAAATGATGATAAACGGCAAATAAAGTGCGAACCATCAGTAGAATCTCTTGGGAGTAGCGTGAGTCTATCTCACAATACTGCTGAATTTTTATTTAATCTGGCTACGCGCTCGTGCTCTATGCATTACTTGTCTTCATCTATGGCTCTATGTGTACCTTTGGACACTCGCGCAACACACTGCTTTTCCTTTGCCCTGCTAAAGCAAAGGCGTGATATAAGTGAATATTTCGCTACATTTAATTCAACGCCACCGCGTTATTGAGTTCCAGATTAGTATCGGTTATTTACCCATATCGAATTTTCAGACTGGTTTCTGGATTACCCACGCAATATACATATACTGTATGTAAGTGGCCGATCCAGATTTCGCAACCTCCATTCAAAACGTTTCTCGGAATTTCAATGACCGAAGATCGTTTAACAGCTCTTTCTATGTTATGGATTAACATTTTTTTGTCGAAAAATTACAATTCCAGTGCCAAAATAATTAAAAAACTTAGGTAAGGTAGGTAAAAATCTTTAACATTTTTGCCAGACTTTTACCAGGGGACGCCAATGTATTGAATGCTAAATTCTCTAAAGTACATATACAGCGTGCCTCGTAAGGGTATGATTGAATGAAAAAGATACCTGCAACATCCTTTGGCTGTCTTATTAATAATTGAGGAAAAATGTCTCCTCAGCTACTAATTTGCTGCTTTTAATCCAAATTACCTTTCAAAAAATTACTTGAAAGAGTCACGCAATACTTTTTCCGATTGTCCTCGATACGGGCAAAACACGATCGAAATGACCTAAAAACAAATATATTCTTACAACCTACTATTAGAACCCGGAAAACTTTCGTGGCCACAACCCTAGTTTGTGTAATATATTATTTAGGCAATATCGAAGTTCATGTAAATCATTAACGAGGAATCGGAGAAAAATGAAAATAACCACAGCTTAGAACATAATTTTAACTAGGCTGCAGTACCTATGTGCATTTTTCACTTGAAATTCTTCCCAACGGGCGCCCTGAGGAGTGTCATTATTTTCGCTGGATAAACTTTATATTAGCCGTGACTGTTTCATGCGCATTTTTTGCAAGCCAAGGTAAAATAATTTGAGGGTCCGTTTTTTAGTTTATACGAATAGAAGACTTTTTAAGATATGGATAGTTTTCATAGAAAATCTCTATATTGGGAGTCAACTAAATAGATTTTCTTTTTCATACTTTAAAGTTATCGTACCTTCTTAAATTACAAACAATTAATAGTAATAATAAGTTATCGTACCAATAGGAATTCATTAAACGTGGGTTTCAGTGGGCTAAATATAGATAAGTAGGTACCTATATTAAATATTCATAAATACAGTTTAATTTTATTTATTTATTATTAAATGGGAAATTATTGACTTAAATATACAGTAAGAGGCGTGGGTTGAGGCCAGTTAATTAAAAATGCAATGGTTTGTTTCGTTTGTCGGTAAATTAAATTAGGTACTCTGTGTTTGTATCTACTGTCCATTATTATTGTACGTGATATATTATGTATGATATTTTGTATAGTTTATTTTTTACCATTGTTGACTGTGCTGTACGTACTATATGTTGTAGTATTTTGTTTTGTACTTTTACTCGCTTTGTCCATAAAATTTGTGATTTTTTCTGTGGCAATAAAGCATATTTTGATTTGATTTACATAGCATGACCAAAAATAAATTATAAATTAATTCAATTCCAAGTAATTTTCATGTACCATATCTAAACTCAGCAGTTAATGCGAAATGAGCACAATTGAACCCAGCAAAATAAATTATGATATTTATTTAAAATATTATAACATATTTTTTAACGTCGAACTAAGATGATCACACTTTCCAATGCCCTAGGTAAAAATCATTGCCAGTTCATTTAAATAAATTGACTACCTACTAGGTAAGTTCCCAAATGTTCTGTGTTGAATTTTCGATTATAGAATCATCTTGTTAAAAAAACTGAAAATATATCTTTATGTGTATTTATGATCTAAAGCACTTAAGATTAGCACTAGCTTAGTAGTTAGATATATGACGTTAAAACGAAAGATATTAATTTATGCAAAACAATACCTATAACATAACAGCGTGCTAAACGTCTGTTCAGCGATAGCTTATCGTCTGCACATTTCAAGAAACATTCCACTATTAACCGGATAATTAAGAATTATAAGACATAATATTATATGTTTGAGTTTCAAACATATTAAAGTATTTAATTGAATGTTTTGTAAGTATGTAAAATAAAATGCCAACTTTCCACTATCTGTGGGCATTTGATCCACAAACATGTAGGGATGTTGCTATACATAGCAAAATTTTCCGTCATACAAGTTGGTAATGCTCCATAAACAATATTATTCCTCCAAATAGATTACTCAGTTCCTTGTTAAATAATCTAATGTGTTATTGAACTTGAATATTTAGATCCAGGACCGCACTTTAACATTCTTTTGAATTAACTAAATCGCTTTTATGAATTAAAATCCTTAGATTTTAGGCTTGAATGGAGAATTGTTTGAATTCATTTTGCCCTGCCTGTTTGAAATTGGTGTTTTAATCTAAAAAAATATGTTTATAAGAACATAAGCAATTGAATTGTTTTTGCAATGCATTTGAATTGTTTTCGTGTTCAATATTATCGCAATAACTGCTTCGAACACCACTTTGCCTGGAAAGTTAAATTCTGAAAATGTGGAATCTTTAATGAAAGAAAATTTTATAGTATTAGTTCACGAAGTTGTTGGGCTCAAGTTTTGTTCACGCATAGTTGTTCTAGTAAGGAATGTCTTGGTAAATCTGTAGGTAAATGCGTTTTCTGCAATACGTTCACTTGCATACTTTAATAAAACATCCTGCTTTTATAGATAACTGCTAACTACACAGCTAATCTATAGGGCACTAGATATCGATATTTCTCCAAAATGATTATTAATTGATTAAAAATAAATTAAATATACAACGTATTTCAAAAACGCTCACTAACTTTTCGGTTTGTGTTAAAACAGTTGTGATACATGAAAGATTACCGGGCTACAAAGTTTTGCAGTTTCATAAAATTAATTTTTTTTATTTAATAGTCTCTCCAGTTTTTTTGTAGTATGTACATGCTGAAAGCCAATTCTGCTTAATTTAGAACATTTTGACAGGGAGCAGAAAATTCTTTAAAACAAAATAATGGTCTCTAGTGAAACTTTGTATGCTTCGACTTAAGAACAATAAAGAAAACGCGCCAATGTCATTGCAGCAAGTCTGATAGTTTAATTGCAAATCCACCTTCTGTATTAAATTACTCTGTTGTCGCAATCAATATTTCTAATTGCTATTTATAAATGATTATTCCCGTCAGTTAAGCAATATACTTTTATTTGATAGAAAAGTGCAATATAATTAGGGAGGGACGCTGCGGTTGTGTCATAAAAATTTTCTGATAGAAAAATTTTGCATCATTTACTGTTTAAGTGTTTAAAAAGTTTTATGTTTACGTCGAAAATGCGATGGTCACGCGATTTTGAGGAACAGAGCCAAACCTCTCTAGTAGAAGGAAATAAAGTGGTTTCTACATCATAGGTTGATGAAATCAAATGTAGGAACAAAAGCTCAATACGGTGCTACTTTGTATTTGTCTGGGTGATCTAAGAAGTGTCTCAACGCATGAACGTGTTACACTTCTTCATACTAGATACTTTAAATTAATAATGTATAAATTAATTTGGGGGTTCCAACGCTTCGGCGCACATGCTGTTTGGCGCAAAACGCGCTTCCAATCTGGATTGAGTGCCGTAATTTCTTCTTTTCTGTTGAAATT